ACAGGGCAGGAGTGATAAGTATGCTACTGAGGCACACCAAACAAAAGAGAACAAACAAAAACAGGCCGCGTGTGACCGGCCTCAAGCAGTTGTCCCCTGGGCTCTGCGGTCACGCAACCAACTTCCACGGTGTGGGCAGCCGGGAAGTAACAATCGCCCTCACAATCCGAAATGCACACAAAACCTCTCTAATCCTCACTTATCTTTGTCTTCATCTTCATCTCTATTACCTTGCCTTCCTCCCACTGATGCAACTCCTCTACTTGATGGCTCCTCACTCCCTCTTCACTCTGTGTCCACTAAAAACGACGGAAGCCAAAAAACCACCACCGATAGTCTCCTAAAGCCACGCCACCAATTTCATATAGGAGCATTTAATGTTAGGACACTTTGCCAAATAGGACAACAAGCATCACTAGCTAAGACCCTGGCATCCGAGCCATTGATGTATGTTGTGTTTCAGAAACACGCATACAAGACCCAAGTGTGGTTATTCACCTAACCCCACCTGGCCAACAGGATGAATCTTCAAAATTCACCTTGAGGGTGTCAGGAGATGCCACAGCTAGTTCACGAGGATTAGCTGGCGTAGGGATAGCTTGAGTACTAGGGCAGAAAAGACATTACTTGACTGGATCCCAGTAGATAGCCGAATGTGTGCTGTCCGTCTGAACGGATCAGTAAGAAGGAGAAAGGACTGCACTACTCGCCGATGCCTTTTCGTAATCTCCGCCTACGCCCCCACTGACTGCAGTTCGGATGAAACGAAGGATGAGTTCTACCAAAAGCTGTCTAGTTTGGTGAGAAAGGCTAAACGCTCAGATATAGTCGTTCTAGCTGGTGACTTTAACGCTCAAGTAGGGAAATTGTGTCAATCTGAGAAGGATGTCGGTGGCACCTATGGAGTTCCGTGCCAGCGAACCGACAACGGTGACCGTCTCCTACAGTTCTGTTCAGATAATCATTTGTTTCTTGTAAGCACTAACTTTAAACACAAGGAGAGACACTGTTTAACCTGGCGACCCCCATCATCAAACCAACGCTGGACACAAATAGACCACATAGCAATAAGCTATCGTTGGCGTGGGTCGGTAGGAGATTGTCGCTCCTTCTGGAACACGTGTGTAGATACCGATCACGCACTGGTCCGGGCTCGTGTGTGCTTACGACTGAACGGACGTAGGAAACAGCTGGCGGTAAAACCATCACGTCCCCAGCTCGATCAGGAAACTAAATCCCTATTTGAGGAAGAACTAGCTAAACGCATATCTGAATTCGACAGCTGTGCTCACCCTGGAGAAGCCTGGAAGAATATTCAGTCAGCTATAGATACAGCTGTAAAAGCTGTGAATAAGGCAAATCCAAAGGTGAGTAAAAACCACTGGATTTCGACTGCCTCATCCGAACTGATAGATGCTAGAAGACTTATTCCGGCGAGCTCCGAATTCAATGAGGAGCGAAAGCTGCACAAAAGGAAACTTACTAAAAGTCTCCGCAAGGACCGTGAACAGTGGTGGGTGACAAAGGCAAAGAGATGGAAAAAGCATCGGCGATAGGCAACTCTTTAGACTCATCAGAACGGGTGGGAGAAGGCAATTCATAAGTGAGACTATTTCTGAGAAAAATGGCTCCTTAATTAGCTCTCAGGATAGACGCCTTGAACGCTGGAAAGAACACTTTGAGGAACAATTTAACTTGCCTACAGCCACACTGAACCTCCCCGCCATCCACACACACCCGAATGGGATATAGACACTGGTCCGCCGTCTGTAGTGAGGTTACAAAAGCTATCAGTAATTTGAAACGAGGCAAAGCGGCAGGACCCGACGGAATTATTCCGGAGGTGTTTAAATATGGGGGTGACATACTAGTTTGTAGATTAACTGAGGTACTAGGCAAAGTCTGGGAATCAGAGACAGTGCCATCAGACTGGGGTAAGTCACTTATTATACCGATATTCAAGAAGGGAAACAAGTCCTCGTGTGATAATCATAGGGGGATCAGCCTAACGAACATAGTCTCTAAAATCCTAGGCTCAGTAATCATGCATAGACTAAGCAGAACTCGGGAGGAACAGACAAGGGAAAATCAAGCAGGCTTTAGACCAGGTAGAGGGTGCATAGATCATATCTTCACTCTTCGACAGATTCTAGAACATAGACACACTTTTCGGCGTCCAACAATTGTCATATTTCTTGACTTGAAGGCGGCCTTCGACTCCGTGGATCGAAAGGTACTATGGCAATGTCTGACTGTGAAGGGAGTGCCAAGAAAGTACATTGCACTAATCAAGGCACTCTATTCAAACTCACGTAGTCGTGTAAGGGCTTATGGGGAATTGTCATCTGAATTGGTAACAACCAGTGGTGTCCGACAGGGATGTCCACTTTCCCCATTTCTGTTTAACTTCATCATAGATATGCTAATGGAAGTATCCTTAACTGAACGTAATGACTTAGGAATCGACTTGTTACCAGGGAATAATCTTATGGACTTAGAATATGCAGATGACATAGTCCTGTTAGGGGAGGATGCTGACAAAATGCAGAGTCTTCTGAACACCTTGAGCAGCAATCTTCGTATGTTTGGCATGCGATTCGCCCCTGCAAAATGTAAGATGCTGCTACAGGACTGGACCACGTCAACCCTAACTTAGTGATAGGGAGTGAAGTGATAGAACATGTTGACCACTTCACCTATTTGGGAAGTTGTATTAGCACCAACGGACTGATTGGCGATGAAATCTCAGCACGGATCCGAAAAGCTCGAGCTGCTTTCGCTGACTTACACCATCTCTGGCGTAGGCGTGACATCCGGTTATCAACCAAGGGACGTGTGTACTGCTCATCAGTTCGCTCCGTCCTTCTCTATGGCTCTGAAACATGGCCAATACGCGTTGAAGACATGAAAAGGTTGACTGCTTTCGATCATAGATGTCTGCGATCTCTGTCTCACGTTAGGTGGTTTCACAAGGTAAGTAATGTTGACGTTAGGCGTAGAGTGTTGGGCAAAGAGGGAAAATCAATCGACGAGGCTATAAAGTTACATAGACTAAGATGGCTAGGTCACGTGCTGCGCATGCCTAACCACCGCCTCCCCCGACGGGCATTGCTAGCTGATATAGGTTCAGGTTGGAAAAGAGCCAGTGGTGGCCAAACAAAAACATGGCATCAATCCATGAAATCCTTGACAGTTAAACTGAGTCAGGTAGGGAGATGCAGACTCCCGGGTTGGGGCCCTCGGGACTCTAGGAATCAATGGCTGGAGACAATAGGTGACATGGCTCAAAATCGTTGTCAATGCGCGCAGATGTATTCAGTCTCTGTAATCTTTCATATTCCTTTCTACCATTACCCATTCTGTTTCACTCTTATACTTGTCAAACTCTATTGATTCTCTTCACTCATCTTCTTGTCTACCTCTGTGTGCTATTTGGAACGTGGCAACTCGAACTGCTGCACTTCGGTGCCAAGTTCTATGTTGAATCCAGACGGAGACAGAATCGATGAAGCTCCACAACTTCAGAAGTTAGCTTCGTCTTTTTGCCTTACACTTCATGCTCAACTTTGATTTTGGATCTCTTACAAAAACCAATTTCACTCATTCGTTTCAACGAACACTGGGGGAGAGTCATGGTATATTACATATTGTTCCTTCTATTATTCCATTAATCATCTTACACAAGATGAGATCTTTCATTTTGAGGACAGTTACAGCAGGCAACAAAGGCATATCTTAGCTACATACTGAAGTAGACTATACTCAAACATTATTTTTGTTTCCTTGTATTCTCAGTGAAACGTGGAGCCACAACCTTTGAACTTTCAGCAGCAGTAGTGTTTTTTTTGCGGGGTACAGTTACTAGTCTCCCTTAAATCCAGGCTAGCTACCAACTAGACAAAGTGTAGAAGTATACCGGCTTGGAATTTAACTTCTGAACCCTTAATTATTATTGGGTTAACGGAATCGTCGAAAATGATAGCTCAATTTTTTTACCTGTCACTATGTTTATCTATGTGAAATAAACAGATAATAGATCCTAGACTTAAAAGGACACATGAGCACACATTTACATGTATATTCAGTTTATGAATCCTAAATTTCTATTATATTCCACCTTATCCTTCATTTATTTTATATTTAACCTGAAATTAAGAATGACAAAAATATCTTCAGACTGTTTTGAAAATTTATATTCATTCACTTCCGTTTCCATTTGTTGTTTTTAATATTTTTACTTTTACCTATATCAATTAACCATTGAATGTTGAACAGTGTTTTAATTAGGTTGACTTTAGCCTTCGTGTGTAGTTTTTAAAGAAAGGTGTATTAATAAAGTGATATTTTATGGTTTACAAAAAAGGATGTTACCACTTAGCTTTAAGCATGTTATACCATTATACCCACTGATAAGTGACTATGACCCAGGAATATGAAAACAACCTTGTTATTTTATTGCCGTTTTTCGCAAAGAAATTACATATAACAGATAATAAAATTAAGTTTCCACATATTTTTGTGTATTCATAAATATGGTTATCAACATTACGAACTAGAACACTTAAAACTACACTGAAAAAGCTTCCTGTAATATATTGCATTATACGAATAAACAAAATGAACTAATATTATTCTGGAGGTCAAAAATCCCAGAGATAACATCTCTGTTAGCACCATTGAGTGGTGTATGTGTGAATTTCATAGTGTACATCTATTTCTCTGGGGGTACATATACACATATAGTTTACTTCGATGATTCAGTGTTAAAATTCTCACCTACTATACACTTGGTACAGGTTCAATTCCCTACAGACTGACTACATAACCTGGTTTGGCTAGAAGTTAGTCCGATAAGGAGCGAAGATTAACTGTGTGTCTAGCAACGCCACCTAGTCCTACTGAAACTTTAAATCTTAAAGCCTCAGGTTCCATTTAGAACACAGATGGATAGAAAACAAAATATCATTATGATAATATTGATTATTTTCACAAAAACTTACTTTAATAAATATTGATTCATCTACATTGGCCTCTTGAAATATAGTAGCAAATTGAAATATTGGACAGAAACGATTCTCTGGATCACTTTTATTGTATAAGCATGTACGAAGGAATTTCTTCGATGCCCAATTTTGAATATTTCGTCTTAAAGAATGTACAAGCACAAACAAAAAGAAGAAACCAAAATCAATGCAAAACTGAAACAAATATAAATTATGCTTCATGCTATCTGTCATTATCATAGTCATTCTTATGAGGATGATTTGTACATAAGGACAAATGGAGGATAAAAAGAATCAATTGACAGTTGTTTTTCTTTTCTAAGCAAAACTGCATTCATACACTAAAGCCTTTAACCTATTATTAGAGTCCTGTCCAATATCACAACATCCTAGCAGTGTTCGCTTTACCATTGGTTTTGTTCTGGCAAAGTCATATTTCAGCTTTTCTCTGGTTGATATATTACACATTGATAAAATTTCAATAGAATCAGCGGTAAACGAATCTATGATTTCTTTATATAGTATAGGTATTTTGTTCTATTCATTGTCCTAACTTTCATTGGTAGACATCATTTAATCTGGAAGTTTTGTTTGTTAAAGCTTGTTATTGGTAAGGTTTGTCTGTCACCTTGGTATTCAAGCCATTTTAAACCAAAAAGTTTTCCTATGTCTATGGTGCATCATTTTGTTTGACATCCTCACCTGAAGAATATGATTCTCCTTTTGCAAGAGCAGAGGATAAGATATTTGCCAACGAACCTTTAATTAGGGAAAGACACATCATCTTTGTACATTCATCACCATATTAAAGTTCGGCTAGATCAGAGGACACTAAGATTTTCTGATTGGTTGGCCCACTTACCAAAGGTTAAACATGTTGTCCATTTAAGCTAAAATAAATCCAGAATTGGTGAACAAACACTTCTACCTCTGCAGCCACTAACTTAAAATGTTGACTTCAATTCTTATCGCTTCCAGTCAATCTGCATCACGCTGTATGCATAGTGTGGGTTTCTTAACACTTTGTCGAGTCTTTGTGACATTTCGACGCAACTTCCTGTCTGTTGGCGGGTGGTAGTGGAATCTAGGAAGGAACTGACCAAATTTGCCTTTTGGCATATAGAGTGATTTAACAAATGGCTTAATATTACTATTGTTTTTCATCTTCGATATGCTTGTTTAGTGTTGATTACCAGTGGAATACATGACCCATGTTTTGTTCGAGTGGACACTTCTCATTGGGTTCTACCTGTAATCTAATGAGTAATAGTGTTTCCATTACCAAAGCCTTATTAATTGTGCTTTTAAACTATGAACTTCTTCTTGTGGTTATTTCCGCTAATATTTCCCGACTAAATTCCTCATTCTAATTTTGATACCATCACTCATATGGATGCGCGTAGATCCAGCTTACTTATTCCAAGTAAGATAAAGCGCGTTTCCCAGGTTTCATTGATAATCAAATCCAAGAAGGTGACTTGAAACTGGAAATCATAGTATTATCGATTCACTTATTTAAAGATCCCACATGCTAAGATGGCATTTAATCACTTGCTTTCAGATATATCAGCGGAAAACTGCAAGTAAAAACAAGTAATCTTATCCTAGTTTGGGACTCAACAGCAATACGCAACCATGGCCGACTCAGGATCGAACTCAGGAACCATGGTCTACGAGGCCAACCTTGTTGACCATTCAGTCATTTGGTCCAGGACCAAATAGTCAGTGAGTTCTTACTTCAAATCCCTGAAAACTAACTCCTAAAAATTAATCTGGTGCTCACTAGTGACTGGTTACTGGATGAAGTCGCCTGCGGTTCTAGTGAGAAGTCGTAACTAGTGGAGTACACCAAGCCGTTGGCTGGTGGTCTCTCTAAAATCGTGAAGGAACAAAAGTGGGAATTTGTGGGCCATTTTCTTTTAGCCTAAGGGAATTCATGGTCAACGAACTTGGCCTTGTAAGCTGAAGATCCTCCATTCGTCCCCTGCTGGGGTCATGGGTGCGTACTGCCGAAGAATCCAAAATCAGGATAGAACAGTTGTCCATTGCTTCCTAGTTTCCAGTAGTTCTCTAATTGATATCAATTCAGAGCAAACTTGAAACAAATAGCTTTCATACAGATCCTATGAAATATTGAATGCAGCTCGAATACTTATCAGATGACCGTGAATTGCACTTCTGGATATTATGAACAGCAGCCAACGTCTTTCTGCCTTGTTGTGTGATTTACAGTGTAGGTGAATACCTGGAAAACAGTTCAATCAGCTATCCATTTATTGACAGATGGTATTACCAAGGCTGATTTATTTTCAAAGGTAGACCGATGTGAAATAATATGAAATTTCAGATGGCATTATCAGACAAACTATGAGTGCATGCATAAATAGGAAATACTTGACTAGTTAGTAACTAAAATAATTTAAATCTCTCCATACATGTAGATGGTGAACTTATTCTGCATCATATTTACCACTGTCATCGACCATCTTAAATTGATGAGAGTGAAGTATTATATATGAAAGCATCTACTAGTGTGTGATTCAGTATTGTTATTGTAAAATGCTTTCCAAGCACGAATGTGGTCCGAGTTTGACTACCAGACACCACATTCCTCAACTTCCTCTAGCTGGCAGTTAGACCAAAAAGAAGATTAAAGTTCCAGCGTGATGTCAGCAACCTTATCCGTAAAAACAATATCGTGGCTACTTAAATTTTCGGGCTCAGGCATGCAGTCTTCGGAACGCAATAAAATGAAGAAACCTAGTCTTAATGAGAGAGAAAATACTCTCATCTACAACACAAAGGAAATTCAGTAAAAAAAGCGTAGTGCAAACACTTTTAGGGCATACAACATAAATGTTTATTTTGGCAGAATCAAATACTAACTATATTCTTCATTAAATGCCTTATTTCACTTATCATAACAATTTAAGTAAATTATAAAATCATAATATATATGTATATATTTACGTCAGCAAAAAAGAACTTACCGATGAATACCAAATTTCTCAAAATTTATATCATTTTTAATAAGCAGTGTATAATTGTAAACCATTGGAAATAAGTATGATCCTTTACCAAGTGGTAAGCTATCATTTTCTAAAGGACACCAAGAGTATATTTCACATGATCCTTTATCATTTCCTGGCTCAACGATACACTTTCCTGTATGAGCTCCTGGCAAAAAAATTAGTATTCAAGAGTACAAAAAATACAGTTAAAAAAAATATATATTAGCTTAATAACACTACGTGTTAAAAGAGGTAGTAATATTATTATGTAAAACTAGATACTACTGACTGACTAAGATACAATTTACATCAACCATTATTGCTCTCTAGCCAGATCTAAGTGGCCTAAACAACAGACGGGCGTCTCGCTCTTTTGCGCCCGAGCATTTCAGTGATTGAACCTGGTTTGATTCACCTCAAAGAATTAAATCACTGGTTAAGCGTAAAAACAACTGATCAGTCTTTGGCATGTTGCGGAATCTTTTTAATAAATGATAGAGCAGATTGCCGAGTCCCATGAAAGTTTCGGAACTAACTCACATAAACCTTGTTTGAGTAGACTGATTGTGGCAATCCAATGCATTTTAAAAAAGTAATGCAGTTACCAGGAGTTAGTCTTTAAATAATGTAGACGTATAACTATAGCACATGAAGAAAAAGTAATCTGAATGAATATAAGTGTTTCACTTAATATTCCTATTTTTTTTAAAATTCTTTGGCTTTTTTAGTGGAACATGGGGCTTGATGCTATGAGGTTTCAGTAGTGGTGGAGTTATTTTCACGCCTAATCTTTCCTCATTAGGAGGTGTTTTACCGGCTTGACTGTTTAGAATTGTGGAGACAAGAAATTGAATCCGAACCTCCAAGTTGGTTGAATTGAATCAGTGAAGCATGAATTCGGTCACAGATATGCTTTGTTCTATCACTGATAGGGATAAATGAGTTTGTGAGCTAAAATAATTTAGTCGCCTAGCAAAGTTATGTAGACTGAACATCTTATATTTAAATTTAAATTTTCCTCGTAGATTCTCAGTTATTCCACTTGCAAAATAATGAACACACTCAAATATCTTTGAATCTTCTTACTCTCCTAGTTTACACTAATTAAACGGTTCAAAATATATGGTAAAATGCAATGTTCCCAATATGATATATCGGTTCTTTAAAACAAAGAATATCTGATGTTTTACACAGTAAAAATCGATGACTTTGATAAGAGACCGTTATAAACACAGTCAAATGATCGAAAAAGCATTCTGAACAGGAAAATTGACTCAGAGACTATCTACACAGATTTCTTTAAACTGTCTTTAAATATAAATTCGACCATATATTTCTCTTAGCCTTAAGAGGACACTGTTTTTTAAGCTTTTAAATAGATGATTCAGCCAGAGATTATGAAGAAAGGAAATTTTCACTTCCCGGAATCTTGATTTCATTTTAGTCGGCTTCTACTAGCAAACAACGGGTATTTAGTCTGATACTTTTAATAGATATATGATACTTGCAAGTGCCTTTTTCAATGTGATTTGCTCCATATGAATGTGTAAACTGCCACACTGCTTTGTCGGTTGGTCAGTAATATTTACATCAAAACCACATGCAATCCGGTATTTAATAACGGAGTTGAAGGCTTCGCATCTTTTGGATGGGCATACTAGCAGAAGTAAAATGATCTACCAAATGAACATTATATACTTTCTCAGTCTCAAGTTTTTACCTCTGCTAAAAACTGAAACATCCTACTAAGAAAGAACCAAGTGTAAGTTTACCTAAAAACTTGTAAACATTTCTGGCAGCTGCAGAAAGGAAGTCGGTAAGTCGACTGAGTGGCTAGTTTTGTAAATTTGTATGGAAATTTAATAATCGTACATTGTTTAAATACTTTTAAGGATCTATGATTTAATTTCAGAAGCCTTCATGAACAACAATTCTTATCCAACTGCATGGAACCTATGAAGATTATCAAGTAATTCCTTTCTGCCATTCTACAAAATTCTGCTGAGGATAAAATATACAATTACCTTTTATTCGAAATAGCTGGCGCCTAGAATTGATATATGCATCGGTCATTTCATTCTATACTACTGGGAGAGAATCTAATGCAAAGGTCAGCTTCAGTCAAGAAGCAATCAAGCTTTTTAAATCTTTTGAACAAACTTAAATCTTTTTCTTTTTATTAAATTAGTACAGTTATTTACAAGTACAATTGTATAAACAGTGTATAATCATCTTCCAGCTACACACTTTTTAACCTTTACAACTATGCCATACTTTGAACTAAAACGTTATTAATGATTCAGCTGCTGATTCTAAAACAGTATTGTTTAAAAATTACATGTTAGTCTCAGTAATGAGTTCATTTTATAACTGTGGCAAAGAGTGAGGTAAAAATTACAAGTTTCTACTATGTAGTTAATAACTGACGGTCAAACTAGCAACTTAAAACAACGATGCTTTGCCTGACAAAAAAAGAGTTAAATAGCGCATTTAATTCTGTTCTAGATTATTATGTTAACCTCATGGACCGTTAACTGAATTAAACTAATCTTATTAAGTTTGCTAAGCACCACTTTCGATTCTCCATTATTAATCCAAAGTAGATCAGACTTATGCATATACTATGCTCAGCATTTAATGACAGAGTAGAACACGAAAGTACGATAACACTGTGTCATGATCACTAGGTAAACTGCCTAATCCTCTTGCTTTGTAGACTTGGGTGAGTTATTGTATTATACACTAGGTAAGAATCAAAATCCAAGGTCGGGCAGCCTAAACTCTACTCACAAAGTAGGAAAGCAAGGCCAAACTTGCTAAATGTACTACAGCAAACGGAATCGTCTTGTGAATAATTTTTTGGGCAACTAAATAAATGATTAAAATATGCAGGATCTATGAAGTACTTACAAATTTTCAGTAAAATTTTATAACAATTCAGTATGAAATTTTAGTCCGAATATTTGAGAAATACTCATTGTTAGGTATTATATAGGACGTAATTTTTTTTCTTTTAATATCTGAATGCGTTTTTGAAAAGGGGCCACTTATGATTACACCACAATGTTGTCAACCACCTATATATAATGGTTCCACTTATTGAAATGAGCGGAAAATAAAAGCTCCCCAAAGTAGTTTTGGAATTAATGAAATTCTTGAAGCTTCTTCTGTCACTTACAAACAACCATTGAGGCGAAATGTCTTCCAGGCATCGTAAAACGATAAAATTTAAACCAATTCGTCCTCAATATTGCATAAGTGGTTATACTGTGTGGGGAATAAATTATCATGCAAACCAAAAGATAAGCCTATCATTCTGTAAAGACCTTAAATTTTGATGCATCTTAAATTGTTAACTTACCATTTCCAAGGTGTGTAAGATAGTATGGCTGACAATCAGCATCCGTACGACAGTCTGCTGCCTTTACTGAAGGACTCTAGACCCGTGAAAAAGTTACAAAATTAGAAAACCTCCGCGCATTTGGAAAGCGACTGTCTTTCAGTTTTAATTATGTTGGTAATCACAAACAAAGCATTATTTTCTAATGGTGGAACAATATAATCTGCTACATCCCAACTGCGTCTTCCAATACCGGGAATGTGTGGAAGGTTTGTAAATCCAATGCCTTTCACTTTAGTTGTGACTGCACTTTTGGCAACGTCATTTTCTTGATAACCTTTTTCATATATCATAACCCAGCTATGAATATGCACATGAGGCGAAAATAATTAGTAATTACCAGACGACATATATAAGGATAACTAGTTGTAGAAGCCTTTGAGTAACACCGATTTTAATATTTGAGATCTGTACTAATTTCGGTGTTTCGTATTCAAAAAGAACTGCTATCCCCTTAACCATTTGTACAATAGCGTCTACATATGTCGAGATTTGAAAGTTCTCAAATTGTTACGTTTGTGTAGGTCATAAACTTGTATCATTTAAAGTTTCAGTTTTTAAAATTAAAAACTGTAGGTGACTAATAAAGCTCTCATTGCTGATTTGTAAAGAAAAATAATTCTTTAATAATCAGAAGACCTTGAAAGTGTCCACTGAGAATCCAGTTTCCAGTATCGTTTATTGCAAACTATCCAATATCGTTTTTACGAGCTAGTATAAACCAGTTTGATTTCCTTGTGCTCGCTTCTGATTGTAAGGTATAGGTTCCTGATCTTCGGTAAACTTCTGTGTAGCTCGTCCCGCCACTCGACTGTCGTAGCTTTGGTTGACTCCAAAAGGAGTAGTGCAGGGATTAATTATATGTGGTTTGTAGTATGAGGTGTGTAAAGACAGGTACTACTGTGAATGGAGTCGATCCTTTTACCATTTAGCCCTCCGGTATCTTTGTCTATAGAAAGGAGATAATAATAGTAGATATAATTAGTGAAGTTATTCAGATAAACAGACAGAAAAAGAAACAAGAAGACGTGACAACAGTCAGCTGATTAAATTTTGAGGAATAATATGAATAGTATATATATATATATATATATAGGTAATAATGATAGTAATCATAGATGTAGTTAAAGTTTCCAGGAGAGTAAGACGGGAGAGAATTTAAAAAAGCAGAACGACAAGTTTAATTGTCTACCCCTGAGTGGTGTGTGTGATTGTGGGGATAGGCCATTTGAATGCAGTCCTTGAGTCGCTGCATGGTTGTCCAGCCTTCGCTTAAAGGTGTCCACAGACGTTGCCATAGCTACACCTGCCGGGAAGGAATTCCAGGTACGGCAAACCCTTAGTGAAAAGAAGTGAGCTATTGTAAACCAACTTGATCTCTTTGAGTTCGCTGTTTTATTCTATTTATTTATTTGTTTATATTTTTGATTACAGCTTGGTTCCACACCGGATTTTTTGGTACAAGTATGGAATTTTCAGCATGGATATCGGTGGCCCAAATTTTGCAGGCCGATCATTGATATCAGGTGTGCGTCGGCGGGGGATCGAACCTTGGACCATGTGCATGGTCAGCGATAGTCCTAACCACTGTGCCACCGACGCAAGGTAAGGTTACGTAAAGGTTCCTCGTCTTCAGTAAACTTCTGCGTGTTCACTCTCACCAGTATACTGTCGACGCTTTGGTTGGCTCCAAAAGGAGTGGTGCTGAGAATAATTATTTGTAGTTTGTAGTATTTGATGAGTTAAGACCGTGTCGCTACCGTGAGTGGATTGACCATTTTCACCAGTAAGTCGTCCGATGTAATCGGCAAGAGAAAAAAGATAATAACAACACTTATAATTAGTGCAGATTATGTAGACTAAAAAAGAAAGAGTAAAAACAGCCAATGAAATTTAATGCCAATATATATATATGTACATGTATATGTATAATGCGCACAGCGCCTTCGTGTTGCTGCGATATGCAAATGATTACAAAGACTTGAAAATAACAAAGTTTCCAAAGCTTTTCTCAGTTAGTAACTTTCTCTAGATTTGACCACCTAAGTCTTGCCTCCTTAATTTGTGCAACTAACTTTGAAGCATAATCCCCGATGAAATGGCTTTATTCTCAGTCAAACTTCCAGTGGGGTTCTTTATGTCTCCCTCATCTAAAAGACAGTCTTTTCGTTACCCCAAACATTAGCTCCTAAGTCTACCTATATAGATTCTTATCGTAGTGTCAAGCTTGCTTTCTTCACTTCCCCTTCGAAACCTTTTGTTGTGTGCTTATTAGATGCAGTAGTATTGAATCGTGAATATTTCTTTATTTCCATTTCTTCTCTCAGTGGACTTCAGCCTTCCAAAAGCTATATGTGACTTTTACTCGAATTTCGTGGCATACTACTACGTGAGATTGAAATGTACCGCACTTGAACCGGACGTGACATTCATATTTTATGTGTAGTCATGCATACCAGACCTGTCTTGGCCACACTACTTACTGACCGTCTGGTATGTCCCACCTAACCTGGTGGCTAAGCTGTCCTAAACTCCTCTGCAACTAATGAAGGGGAATATTATAATTATGGCTGTTTACAGATGCATTTATTAATGATCGCACCAAAACACGAAGAAGCGGCCATGCGCCTGTTTCTTGTGGTGCTCATTAACAACCATCAGAAATAAGGCCGGTTGTAGCGAGCTGTAATGGAGTAGTAGAACACAGATAGTGGTCGAAATGACTTTATAAATAACAACAAAAGTCACAATACAAGTGGAGTAATCGGGTTTACATAAGGGAATTAGTCAAGCTCTTGGAACAGCTACGTAGAGCCTTCAAAAATGACACCTCTTTCGCGGAATGTGTTAATAGGTTGCCCCTTCGCTCGATAAGATCTCCTTCTGTATTGCACTATTGATTCCGCCGCTTCACTCTAGTAAAAAGGAATAGGTATCTGGCTGTTATGAATTGTAACAGGATTGGAATTGGTATCCCGTACTTGACTGTATTTGTTAGATCGTTCTAAAAAACTAAAGTTTAATATCCTAGTCTCCGTAATATCAGTGCTGTTACTTAGTGGGTGGCTACACGTGCAGACTTCCTCTCTACGTTACTAAGCACCACGGTAAAAAGGCATCCCATATCACCTAACTGATTGCTAGAAACTCTATGACGGAAGTAGATTACGTCATTTCTGCAGGATTAGGCACCTTAGAGAAGAATGCTTTAGGTTCGCAGTTGCCGTCGACCAGCAATTCTAATGGCCTTACTGGACCCGTCTACCATTATTGCAAGGGAAGCATCTGAATTAGAATTTTTCAGTGTTGTGGCTGCCGCCAACACTTCTGTATAATCACCGGAAGGGCAGCAGTTGGTCTGATGTTTCTTTGCAACTACGCACAACTATGAAGCACACTGACTGCTGGACGTCTGAATAGTTCAACGCTGAAGCACGTTAACAAATTAAGGGGCCAAACTCCTTGGTTGAAAAAATCATGGTGGTGTCAGTGTCCAGGCCGAACTAAACTGGACTTCACACTATCCTTGGATGACTTTCAGGAAATATGCAAAATAACCGACGCAAAAAACCAGAACCCAAATTGGTGACTCAAGAACCATTTATTCTTGCACCAATACAGAGCCAACCATTGGGTTATTGTACACAAAGTCTAAGAATAAATGTCATCACAATAAATCACAGTAATACTTCTGATAGTTTTTCTCCGTCTTCCAACGAACAGCGAACGATGGAACGATGACTGCAGTATCGATGACTCTCGCCAAAATATCGAGTTGGGTTTGAGCAAACAACCATGAATCGATCGTTCGATCTTCAACTATATTGACAGGGCACATTTGAGCTTATAATAGTATATGTATTCCTGTCGATGCAGAAACATCATATTTGTAGATGCATTGTTTATCTTACATGAATTTGGTTTGTGGTGAACTTCCATGGTTGCTATCCTATTGACTTTAGTTTTGTAGGGACAATCTTTTAACTAGTCGATAAATGAGGCATATTTAGAGATATGGGAATATTGTCTTTGCATTAACAAAAAGTCAAGTCTGTGATGGATGGATTACGAACATTTGGAAAAAATAAAGCATGAATTCAGTTCTTCCATGCAACCTTGCTGTGAACGGCACCGGATCTCATTCTTGATTTACGGTCGAATTGGGTGTCTTTTCGAAATAAATGGTATATTTGTATTATTTTCTCAACTGTGCCATCACAGTGTAACATCAAAGTTGAATTCTGCCCCAGTCAGACGAGTACCGGCTGAAGATAGGCAGATTTCTTCATTTCAACAAAGTCACCCATGATTGCCATTCGTAGCTGTACGGTAATGGGTGTGCGCTAGTTGATTAAGACGTAAAAAACTGTTTGGAACCGGTTGCATCTTCATTTTAAGTCATAGATACCGCTCGGAAAGATTGTTATTCAGCGTCTTGACATGTTGACATGCAAGCAGTTGGGGATGTTGAGTTAGTATTAGCCAAAATTTTGAAGTATGATGCGGCATGTATAAGTAAGTCGCTTCAGGTCCTATCCTATCGTGGGTCCGTGCGACTACAAGGCAAACAGAAGAGGAGTGATAAGCAGCAAAGCACCAGATAAAAGTATGTGGACACAAATGGAACTTTATTGTTTGTATATAAATATGTTTACATTTATTGTATATCTCTGTCTAGCAAACAAACTGAAATTCTCTTAGTCATTCTATACATGCATGCGACTAGTTTCTCTATTTTTTACTGGGTAATTAGGGAAGTTTTTACTCGTTCTCCAGACACCATAGGGACTTAGTAATTGGTTTGTTCTAGAAGTAAATAGTTTGTCCAGGTTATCAGTTAAGTTGAACTGGCTGCAAAGAGAGGCGGATTAAAGCTCAAAACCTAAGTTCAGATTCTGATTTCCGGTAAGAGCTGTTCCATACTATACAACATATGACCACGCAGAAGTTTCCGTGGGGTGAAGATTCAGAGGCTTTTGTTGTCACTGTGTATGTTTAGTAAGGCAAATCGTAAGAGCATTCCTGTGAGCATTGTATGTCTTTGCCATTTGAGAATGGTTTTTAATGTAGGACTTCAAAGAAGAGTATTAGGTTTATAATAAGTCGTCTCGATCAAGTCTGTTAAATACTTAGAGTCTCTAACGGTAGCCTTTCTCACAATCATACCGAGTAGTTTGGACTTTAAAGATAGCTGGATACCTTTCATTCCCAGTCTCTCATATATATGAGTAGTGCTAGTGATAAAAAGACACTATTCTAGTATTTGCCTTTAACATGTTTTGTATGGAATGGGCTTGGCTTCATGGTCATGAAATTTCCTGAGCATGCATCATTAGAGCATCCTCGACTTTCATTCCTCTATGACACCTGCTCAAAATATGTTAGGTCACTAGGGCACCTCAGACCTAAGTCGAAAACATTATGGAGTCTAGGCGAATTGGTACATTAAAGCATGAATTTAA